GCTTTATTCCTATGCATGTTTACATGTTTTAACTATATAGAAAGTATACGGGGAGGGGGCTTTATTCCTATGCATGTTTACATGTTTTAACTATATAGAAAGTATACGGGGAGGGGGCTTTATTCCTATGCGTGTTTACATGTTTTATTTTCTGGCTCTTCCTTATGTATCCTCTAGACATTTCAGATCAAATACGAGCACACTAGGTGGCTTTGCCCTTTTCTCTGCCCTCTGTTAGGTAGATTTGTATTTCAAATCTTGCTTTTTCTGGATGTTTTGGAGAGAGTTCCATGTTGATGTGGAGAGGCAGGTCTTTTCTCATTTCTCAGTTTTATCTCAGAATCTTTAACCAGTCTTTTATTGATACTGCGTTAGTTCTAATGTTTGCAAGCAATCCATGTAAAATGAACGATTCGGATTCTGTATGTTTCATGCAGGTTACACACACACACGCACACGCACACGCACACGCACACGCACACGCACACGCACACGCACACGCACACGCACACGCACACAGGCTACAGCCTGAGAAGTAAGAGTGCTGGGACAAAGGCAGCATCACATTTTCTTCCGTAGAGGTCATACTTCCATGTATAATGTTTAACAATGGGGTTTCCCTACAGTTTTGCCAACTTTAACAGGGTGTGTTAAACCTATGATTTTTTTTTTTGTCCGTCACACAGGAACACATCAGTATCTCAAAGTCCTTTTGAGTTGACTTTCTTCTTATGAGTAACGTTGAGTAACCCTTGCTCTGCCCAGTATCTGACGGCATTCCCCTTTCTCTGATCAGCTTCCCTGTTAATGACCCTTTAAGTTTATCGTTTTGTTGAATATTCATTTTGTTCTTCCACTAATGTTTGAAGGAGTTCTTCATATGCTCAGAGAATTATCCCTTTATATGGGATGAAGTACAATTTTCTTTTTTCTGTAATTTGTTCTGTGTTTTGACTTAGCTTCTGGTTATTCTTGATTGTGTATGTGTGTGTGTGTGTGTGTGTGTTTGTGTGTGTGTATCATTTACTCTCATATCCCCATGCCTTTGTTCCTTTGGGTCCCTAGACCTGATGTGCCCTTTCCTCCCCATTTTTCTAACTTGCTCTTGTTCCTTTAGATCTGACTCAAATATCACCCTCCCTGGTTTGTCACCTCTCCTACCAGACCCTGTAGGTTTTTCCTGGATACTCCTTTTATGCTTTATCATGTCTCTATTTGGTCATTTGCCTTAATTTCTATATCTATCTGTGTATCCATCCACTCACCCATCCATCCATTTCTCTATCCATATATCTCTTATCTGGGCTTATTCTTAACTCTCAGAGTCTTCATCTCTGTGCTAGGAGCTCAAGCATTTGTTAAACAGGTGTTTGTGAACTAAGTGACTTAGGACCAAAACTTACTGCCTCTAAAGTTTCAGCTGATCTTATTTTTTGGATGAATCATGTGTAATGAAAATCCCTTTGTGTGTGTATGTGCTATGTGTGTGTGCTGTGTGTGTCTGTGTGTATTTGCATGTGTGTAGGGGTGGAGACCAGAGATCAAAATAAGTTGTTTTCCTCAGTTATTTTCCACCTTAATTTTTGAGACAGGCTCCCTTGCTAGATGTGGATACCCAGTAGACTGGCTGGCTGTCAAACCCCAGGGAACTTCCTGTTCCCACATCTCCAGTGTTGGGTTTACAGGCATGTACCACCATGCCAGGGTTTTTATATGGATGTTAGGGATCTTATTCAGGTCCTCCTGCTTCTGTGATAAAGCACTTTACTGCTTATGCCATATCCCCAGCCCTCAAATATCCTTGAGGAAGAAAGAAAGATAGAAAGAGAGAGAGAGAGAGAGAGAGAGAGAGACAGAGACAGAGACAGAGACAGAGACACAGAGAGAGAGCGAGTGAGAAGGCTTAGACCTAGACACAGGGACGTGTCTAGGGTACTTTGTTGCCCTCAGCTGTGAAGAACAGGCTTCTTGACCTCCAGTGAGGATCCTCAGGGCCCAATTTCTCTTTTTCTTCCTGTGCAAACTCTAAGAGAAATCAATAGCCAGGCAGAATGTTTTTTGTTTTAGTGAAATTTATTTTATATTCATCAAAATGATGTGCTAATTCTTCATCCATAAACATTCTCATCCACACAATAGAAACTTGTTTATTCCCAGCTTCAGTGAAGGAACTCAGTGCAGGCTGTGCACTGGTCCAAGTGCAATTTATCTCATACACATTGACAACTAGATTCTTTTGTAGACATTGCTGCCTCATGTCCCCTTGAATCAACTTAAATAGATCAATCAATCAATAAATACATAAATAAATAGGTAGGTGGTTGCCCATCAGAGGCAAGGAGGAAAACATAGGCTTTCTTTGAACAGAATGTGCCATGGTTTCTCATGGCTCTGAGAGACCTGGCTTGGCATAAGACTAAGGATTCCCCTGGAGACTGAGCTGTCTGCTCATTCATGACAAGGGAGCCCCTTAATATGTCCTGGGGAAGGCATTAGAAATAGTCCAGTCCATACTTTAGGAAGACACAGATTCCATGGTGAAGTCAATTATGTCCTGACCACTGTTGCTTCCCAGGAAGACAGGTTTGTGTTCTGCTTGAGAGGTGCTGATGTACCAATTGGGGAACTGTGCAGACTCAAACTCCACTTTGGTCTTGATTTCTATCTTGTTGAAGACAAACCGCTTTTCCATCTTCCTCTTTGGGTATTGTTTGGGATCCACACTCTGCAGAAAAATAGAAAGAAGAATTGTGTTCATGTCTGTGTCTATGTCTGTGTGTCCGTGTCCGTGTGTGTGTGTGTGTGTGTGTGTGTCCATGTGTGTGTGTGTGTGATAGAAAGTATAAAGCTACAACAGTAGGCATGTTCTCAGGGATGCTGAAGAGGAGATTGAAAAAGAAGTTCCACATTCTTTACAGCTGAACCCCATCTTTCTATAATCACTGAAAGAACCCTTTGTTTTTTTTTTTCCTCTGAATCCTAAGGGAGGATCATATGGGTGAAAACTATATTAAAGCTTCCAAGAGTACCTAGTTTCCAGGTATTTTTGTCACATTTCCCCCTAAAGCCCTGGATAGAGTGGCATCAGCTCGTGAATGGAGCTTTTGTTAGGAATGTTGCAAGTGCCAGAAGAGGTCTGAGGATCGATGGTGAATTCTTTCATTGACTTCTCCAAACTGTTCTCTGTCACATGGGAAAAACTGTCACCATATGCAACCCTTTCATCCTTGATGCTATGAGTTCTGTTGGGGGTGTTAATGGTGTCCTGACATGACAACAGCATCAAGAAGAATTGATTTCCCATGGTGAAAGTGAAGTTTATGCGCCCTTAAAAGCTATGCTAATTTTATTCTATATTTATGTAAATTGTCAAGAAGACCTCCCATGTTTTCTGGCGGGTCGGGCAGGTGGATGTCTGGGAAGTAAATAAAGACAAAGAGTCTTAGATGAGCAATGAGGGCAGCTTCTCTGTAACCAATGGACTCACCTCCAGCTGCAGGGTGGGTGTGCCGTCTTTCATTACACAGGACAGGTATAGATTCTTTCCTTTGAGACCCAAGGCCACAGGTATTTTGTTGTTGCTTGTTTCTCCGTGTACAAAGCTCATGGAGAATACCACTGGAGAAAGAAGAGGAGTCTGGGTCAAGGATACAGCAGTTTAGGGTGGGCTCAAGCATTAGACATGATAGGCAAAACCCATGCAGTCCTCCGTGGGAACCCAGAATGAGCTTCCTCAGACACAAGCTATGGGCTAGCAGTGCTAGACAGTCATGGTCATAGACAGTAGCAAGGTCAGTGGGCTGATCCAGGATTCCCTCAGGGCCTCTTAGGAGCAGCAATGAAGAATAAAAGGTGTCTAGTTGTTAAGTTCTAAGGAATAGAGCTGTTGTGTGACTGGCAGGCTGTGCGCCCGTCTATATCAGAAGTACATTTTGGTCACTATGAAAGCAAAGCTGTGCTCCTAAAAGGACTCAGGGGCCAGCATGTTTTGAGGAAAATACAGCAGTATGGCATAGAACTGTCTTAGCTGGGAAGAATGGCTTCAAAAAAGAGACCCCATTTGAAACTTAGCCTCAGCATCTCAATTGGAAGCCCCTGCTGCTTTTATGACTTCATCAAGAAACAAGAATTATTCTTTATAAAAGTTATAAAAAAATAAGATTCTCTTCACCTGGACTGGAGCAAACAGCTCCCTCCAAAGCTTCTAAGATCAGAAGCTAAAAGGAGACCCACACATTGCTGCTGTTAGGTCTTGTCCCCTCAGTTATGGTGGCATGATGCCTGGTCCATCCTATCATCTAAAAAAGCCCTGTTTTCACTTGGAATGCGTGTTATTATGGAAGAGCGATGTACGTTCCTGATGGTCAGTAAACCTCCCTACAAGAAACCCTGTGGTATTGGTGGGAAGGATATCAGCACAAGGGACAGGATTGGGAACAGAAATGGACATATCAATTCTCTACCATCCACATTTCAACCTCAAATGAGGGAAAAGAACCCACAGGCAGTTATTGCGTGTCCGTCAAATGACTTCACACTAATGTGTTATCCCTATATGGCTAGAAAAATGGTTCCTCTTTCTTTCTTTCTTTCTTTCTTTCTTTCTTTCTTTCTTTCTTTCTTTCTTTCTTTCTCTTTATTCTTTCCTTTCCCTTCCTTTCCTTTCTTCTCTCCTCTCCTCCCCTCCCCTCCCCCCCCTCCCTCCTCTCCCCCCCTCATATATTGGCCATAGTGTTTCATCTTAAAACACAGAGACCTAGTAGGCTGCCAGGAGACCAGAAAGGGAACAACTTACCTTGTTGGTTTATATTCTGTCCATTGAGGTGGAGAGCTTTCAGCTCACACGGGTCAGACAGAATAAGGCATTTTTGTTGTTCGTCTCGGAGCTTGCAGTGCAGCTGTCTAATGGGAACATCGCATAGTAACAGGTCATCATCATCATCCCATGAGTCACAGAGGATGGGCTCTGAAAGTTGAAGATGAGATGTTTAGGCAAACAATTAGAAATGCAAGCACAGTGAAGTGAAGCAGCAGAATTTGGTTTATTGAGCAATATTTAAGCATGCACAGTCAAGATTCTATTCTAATTTTACTGGGGGTATAAAAGAATTGGGAGTAGGCTGGGCAAGAACATTGAATCTGGTATGGTGAGACAAGCTTCAGTGTTTTGACCATTCACTATGGACTGGCAGTAGTGGGACTTGTGTGAAACGATGCTAGTAATAAGACCGGCTCAACAGAGAGATCGTGAGATTTGCAAGCTCTAGTGTGAGCCAGAGTACTTGGTGAACCAATGGTTGAATTGCAAATGTGAACAGTTTTTTTAAAAAGCATTTTAGAACATCCTTTTAAAAAGTTAATCAGCTTAAGGTATGACTGATTTGTTTGGAGGCTTCCTTGCTTTCTTCTAATGGTTGGGATGTCTAGCACTAAGGGTGCACTTGAGGAGGGAAGTGGACTACTAAGAGGTGGACTGAGGAGGATCAGAGTGAAGGTCTGCTGTCCACTCTCAGCCCTCATTAAGTACCTTCTTCAAAGATGAAGGAAAAGAAGGTTCTCAGATCTCCATCCTGTAAGGTCCATGGGGAAGACACAGGGAGCTGACACAGCTTCTCCACAGCCACAATGAGGGACACCGCCTGCCTGAAACTCTTGTTGAGATGCTGCTGCGAGATCTGAAGCTGGATGCTCTCATCTGGACAGCCCGGGTCAGAGGCTTGGAAGCATCCCTGTGGAGAAACCAGGCAGTGAGCACATCATTAGACCAGGGAACTCCTGTATTAATCCCACAGAATACCAAGGGCCCTGGAGATAAGTTCTTCAGTTCTTAACCACAACCCCTGTGTCTCTGGAGCCCAGACAGTTTAATTGGCTTACCCAGGGGTACATGGCAACCAGACACAGGCTTCCTGGCATCCTCTATACCAAACCTCATTTCTTCTTTATCTTTCTTGTACAGACCTTGCCTTACTGTATAATTAGACCTACTTAAACCTCTCATCTTCTGGTGTCCTTTCTGTTCAAATATTGTGCATTAATTTCTCATGACAGTACGTTCATGTTGCCTTCTACTCAACTGAGATCACCCAAGAGACTCTCAATGGCTTTTCATACACTCTTTCCTCATGTAGGCATAAGCACAGCTTTTGTTTGTAAAATATGTTACCACTTTCCTGTTCTTTGGAGAAACACCACATTAAGGCCTAACCAAAGTTGCCTTGAGGCATGATAGTTTCTAAGCTTGAAGGACAATGATAGATAATTACAATAGTGTAAAGGAAAGGTTGATTGGGAGAGAAGTTTCTGTCCAGAGTAGAGGCTCCCAGTGAAAGTCAGGTTCTGGAGCAGGCAGTGGGGGCCAGAGCCTGGCTGAGAAGGTGAGAGGCTTCACCCAAGGCTGAGCTAACCAGTTATAGTGGTCTTAAAATATATTTGTTTAAGCTGAGAACTAGATTTTGAGGCTGGGGGAGACTTGTTGTGGACTTGGGAAAAGGTCTGAGAGAATCAGCTCCCTCCTGAGTGGGGCAATGACGTGGCTGGACTGATGCCATGTGGCATTTGAGAGTTCTCAGTCATCATGGGAAGGGACAACTGGGATGCAGAGTTTAAGTGATCAGATTAAGCTCCATCCATCTGAAGGGAGGACTGAATGTATGTTGAAGACCTGACTGTCTTCCTAGCATAAAACGCCACGATTGCCATCAGCAAGCCTTGGTGTGTGGCTATGGTAGGTGGAACTGTGTGGGAGCCAGGTCAGTGTGTGGGTTGCCTTGTCTGTGTCACTGAAAGAGGCAAAATAATCCCATCACAAAATAGCCTGGGAGCAAGGCAAGCCAGTATCCCTCACCCTGTTTGGGGCTTTTCTCATGCTACAGTCCCTCCATAGATTGGGAGCCAAGGTCAGAGTCTCACCTTCATTTTTGGGGGTCCATCAACCTCAAAGAACAGGTCATTCTCATCACTGTAATGAAAATAGACTTGGTCAAGTGATAGCTCCTTATCAATACTGATCAGACAGACTTTCATTGTTAATAAAACCACACATAGTATGACACTCAAAACTTCCTGAAGACGTCTGGCAGGTTCTACAGTGTTACATAAGCAACAGTCTAGAAGCAGATTCTGGGCCAGGTAAGTGGGAGCTCTGGGTGCTCTCTGTTGACTTCTGACACCTAGATTCTAGACTAGCAGAGTTGACTGAAGTCTGAGCTCTATGCCCTTGCTTCCAAGCCATACTTTGCAAAAGGGTCTCCTATACTGTCCACATGGAAGTTTTTCTTTCCATTGCATCTGCAGGAGACCCTGTAGTGACAGCACTTAAGACCTCAGGGTGGGCTTGGGGGTGGAGAAGTCAGCCTTTAAGCCAGGTGGCTTGAACTCTGATAGCCATTGAAGGCAATGAGTTGGGGACACTCTGGCCTCTGAAAGTAGGCAACCCTCCATCCTTGAAAGCAGACTGCTGGACCACTCTCCAGTTCCCACTGACCTGTCAAAAAGCGTCATTTCACAGTTGAGTTCAGGAACAGTTGCCATAACTGCTTTAGACACCTGTGTGAAGAGAGAAAGTGGATGGGCATCCAGTGTTAGCTCCCTGAGGGGCTACCTTCATATGTATTTCTCTCAGCTCTAGTTCAGGGCAGGCATGCTAAACTGATCTCTGAGGAGTGAATGAATGGAGGAGCTGTGGTATGGGTCTAGAACAGTGGTCCTTCTGGAGCCAAGCGGCCCTTTCACAGGGGTCACCTAAGACCATTGGATAAGCAGATATTCACAATACAATTCATAACAGCAAAATTACAGTTATGAAGTAGCAATGAAAATAATTTTAGGGTTGGGGGTCACTACAACATGCGGAACAGCGTTAGGAAGCTGCTTTAGAGGAAAACAACAGCTGAGCTAAACCCTAAGCAGAAAAGCAAACCTTTTCCAGGAGACAGCAGTTACCTTTTAGATATCAGCTGCTATATAAACAGCACTCATTTTCTGAGTATTCATAAGCCATGGACTTACAGTTACTTTTTATAAATAAAAAGCCCAAAGCCCATCAGTGGGGAGTGGGGCAGAGAGAGAGAGAGGGAGAGAGAGAGAGAGAGAGAGAGAGAGAGAGAGAGAGAGAGAGAGAGAGAGAGAGCCTTTTCCTGAGAGGTAAGTCTTACTTGCACAAGGAAGCCTGGCCAGAGAGGATCCCAGATCAGCCTGTTATGCCTCGAACCACCACAGGGTTTGTTGTCTACCAGTTTTCCCTCCCTCATTTTATAGTCCTAAAAAGCAGAAGTGAAGAGCTGAGAAATTTTCCCTTGGGTTAACTGATTTCACAAGCACACTGAAGGTGGGGGAGGGGAAGAAGCTTGATGAGAATTCTTAGGGGAAGAGGCTGCTGTTACCCTGAAATAATTTCTAATCCCTGGAAGTACAAGGGGTGGCAGACTATGACACATTTGAAGTGTGTCATCGTGGTGGAAACAGGCATTATTTCTCCCTGGACAATTGTGCAGATGGTGTCAAAATTAAAAATATTGGGTTTTCCTGGATTAGCTGGACATTTTCAGTCAGGATGTGAGGAACAAAAGAGGGCACGTAGATTCACACCAGAAGTGCATCACCTCTCTTGCCTCCTTGTGCTTAAGCTGAGGAAGCTTCCCAGTTCCATCAATTGTGTTAGCAGGAGCTTCTGGAGAGACACTTGCACTTCCTTGCATGGGTCAGGGCACACAGTACTCAAGCATCTGTGTAGGCTTGTCATAGGGTAGGGGGATCCTAGAAACAAGCTTATGCAGTCTGATAATGCCAAGGTGCTTATAATACCATAGCCAGTCTCATGTTGAAACCGTATCAGTGCTAGGTGGTCAGCAGAGTGAGCCTGAATTAAGTTGCACCCTGTAAAAGTGATGAATGAGGCATGATCACATTTCATCTTGAAAAGTATTGTGATATTCTTTGCCTAAAAATTATTTTGGCGAATTCTTGTTTCTATAAGATCTGGGGAGATTAAATCTCTTGGCAGTATCACACATCACTAGACTGTTAGCTCAGAGGGCCCAGAGCACGTACCCAGGGGAGACCTTCTTGCTTGGATGGAATGAACAACCAGGTCACATGAATGGTGCACACAGTCTCTTGGGCACATCTACGGTATACTAGAATCCTCAATGGAATCCTAACTCATTCTCTGAGCCCTCAGAGAGTCTGTGGACTCTATTAGAGCAGGTCTAGCACAGTGCCTGGCATATGTACGAAGGCAGTAGGGCCTAGCATGAGTGAGTAGGAATTTGGCAATGTGTTCATTCAGATGAGTTTGTACCTAGTATGTTTTGGTTACTGAGCTTATTCTGCAGTACTAAAGGGAAATATACAGAGAGAACTGGAAGCAGGAATAGACAAGGCTCTGCTATGAAACAAGGTTTACTTACTAGGCAGCCTTCTTTTGTCTAATTTGGCTCACAGTATCTCAATTTCAGGAAAGCAAACAGAAGAATCCCATCTTTGACCAACTATATGTTTGATTTGAAATCTGAAGGTGGTTCAGGGTCTCAGTTTCATCTGAGTTTGGTGAGCAATGGTCGGTTTTCAGCACTAAGATTTTATAAGGTTTGTTATCTGGTCTGGTAGACAATCCAGAGGTCCTGTCTGGGCCATCTGGTTCATTTGTCTGTTCTGTCTTCACAGGATCCACATTACACTATGCCTGGAGGGACTAACCCTTTCCTCAGAGCCTGTGTGCAGGACTGGAGGGTCTGATGATCTTGTGGGCTGTCCTGACAGAGATTATTAGAGACCCCTTTGAGCCGGGCAGTGGTGGCGCACACTTTTAATCCCAGCACTTGGGAGGCAGAGGCAGGTGGATTTCTGAGTTCGAGGCCAGCCTGGTCTACAGAGTGAGTTCCAGGACAGCCAGGGCTACACAGAGAAACCCTGTCTCAAACAAACAAACAAACAAACAAACAAACAAAAAAACAAAAAATAAAAAAAATAGAGACCCTTTGGTCTGCTGATGTGAGTTGAGCTAGGGATGGTGAAAACAGGGGCAGAGAAGAAGGTTAACTAGGGGCCTGAGCGTCAGCTCTGAGTCCTTTCTCTGAATGATTTGTCAGGAGCCTTGAGCTCAGCCTAGTTACAGCATCTTCTTCACCCTCTGCTAGTTATAACACTCCAAAAACCCCTGAGTCTGATGCGAGAGAGGAGTAATTGTCTGGTAGGATGCTGGGGAGGGGGACCACATGCATGAAGACAAATGGCCATTTAAGTGTGAATAAGAGATGAGGAGATGAGAGGAGGCTTGTCTGGGGCAGTGATCTGGTTGATGACTTTTTCTTCTAGAGGGACATTTTGGAACTATGAGGCAACGCCTCTGGTATGCCATTATTCTGTCATACCTCATCTTGGCCCTGTGGCTTGGACTCCAAACTTCTTCCTTTTGTCATATAGAGCATGCAAGTTGCACAATATGTGTATTAAACCCTGTCTCTTAGTCCACACTTCCTTCTGGTCCCCAATGAGTAGAAAAAAACAACTCACTATAGAAATTTTTATGTTGGGGGTGTGGTATAGTGATTACGATACTGGTGATGATGTAGGCAAAGGAAATGAACAAAGCAAAAGAGGAAGTCGGCAAGGCCAGGATGGTGATGTGTACTCCGGCTTTTGGGGAACTCTTCAGCTCTTGACACACTCAGCACTTTTCAGCTGTTAAGATTTCCTCTGCTCTGGCATCTCAAGCCTCCAAGATGGAGGCAAGCATTTCTTCAAAGCTGAGGGTGCCTTGGTACCTGTCTTACTTACTTTTATATTGTTGTAATAAATACAAACATGACTGGCTTCAAAGTCATGACAATTCTCATGCGTTTGTCTCCCAAGGACTGAGATTACAGGCATGAGCTACCAGGTCCGGTCAACGTATGTATTCTACACTGGGTGCTTCCTTTTTGCTTATCCTCTTACTCAGAACAGAGCTAAGCAATGACTGTCCTTACTACTTTCTCCAGACCTTGCCTCAGTCCTCGAGTTGACAACTTAGTACAGGTCTTAGGGGTCTGTTCTTTCCCTCTCATCTTTTCTGTCCTGGCTAGTTTTATGTCAACTTGACACAAGCTAGAATCATTAGAGAGGAGGGAACCTTAACTGACAAAATACCTCCGTAGGATCTGTCTGTAGGCAAGCCTGTAGGAAATTTTATTTTATTTTATTTTATTTTTCCATAATACAGATATCTATTTTATTAAAAAAGTTACAAACAGGTGGACTGCAGGGTCATCTTACAAAATGACAAGAATGAAATCTATTGGAAAAATGTACTTTTACAAATCTTCATAGGTAATTGTTCAATGTTTGTACTTGCTATTGGAGCTTTGACTGTTCACTGATAAGCTTACAGTACAGTAGATCGTGAGAATAGGTTACAGGAATTATTTGCAGAGCCCTACTGCAGTGATTTGAACAACTCCTAAACAGATGCCATAGTAAAGACAAGACATATATTGCATTTAAAATTCATTTCTTATCCTAATAAGCAACATGCAATCTATTGAGGAAGCTAAAATAACTTTTGGTCCCTTTTCTTAAAATGTGCTGGAGAAACCATCTTTAAAATCACTTTCCCCTGATTCCTGTGATCCTAAGTGAATCCGAGTGAAATTTGCTGCTGAGGTCAATTACAATGAACACTGTGATAGAGAGAGAGGTGACGGAAGGCAAAGAAGGGAAGGAAAGAAGAATATCCATAGGAAAGAAACACTGTATAAACAATCAATCTGCAGACAATTGAAGCCATCATGAATTATTTGATTCCTTTAGAATTTCACAGAGCTAGTAATGACGAGCCACAACCACTTACGCTACTCTGAATGAGCATTTGGGTTTAAAGTGCAAACTCAAGTTAAGTATTCACTTCCAGCAGTTTGTAAATGAGGAACAAATGTCTCACTCGCTGCTACCCTTATACTCTCACCATCAAACCACAAATTTAAGAACAAGAGCTTGCTTTGAGGGAATCTGATCAGGAATCAAATGCAACACGATTTTAAAAAAGGAAATCAAAGTTTAATCATTTTCTACTCATTAATTAATGGCCATGCTGACCAATAAGTCACATGAATGTCGATATCACTTTATTTGAACATCACACACAATACAAATTTCAACTTGCCACACCCGTCCACAAACCATCACTGCATATTAATAGAGCTTTGCTTGACAAAGTTATTGAACTATTATTATAGATCAAAAGCATAGTTTTGGTTTTGTTTTATTTAGAAGCATGTTCAAATGACTAAAGCTGGGCTCCTAAAATTGAGAACTTTGGTGCAGTAGGTGAGCTGCAGTTACTAACTTCTGCAAATTAAAAGCACACAAATAAAACCAAATAAAAACCCCAAAACAAAATACTGTCAAACTTACACAATTGAAAAATAATTGCTAGAAAAAGCACTCGTCATCATGATGTTAAAACTGAACCAAAAGATTACTCATTGTAAGTTTTTTTTTTCTTTTTCTATACCTGCGTTATTGGTAAAATGTTCAAGTATTCAGACAAAATGTGCTGATTAGGTAAACAACATGGAAGGCAATGGCTATTAGAAAGCACATTTGCAAAAATAAAACACAGCCAGCCAGAGACTTGGTGCTATTTTCCCTCCTGTTACACAGATTTCTGTCTCTACTACGAACATGCTTCTTGAAAAATAACTAAAAAGCAGTTGTGATAGTGCAAGAAAACATTAACAAATATTGCTTTAAACTATTATTCAGAAAGACAAATATTAAGAACTAGAAATTGTACATGGTTTTATCTGAATTCAATTTTACATGTGCAGAAGTCTACCAGATGTCAATGACTAGCCTGATGGGCAAAGCTGAGCTATCTCTGTTTAGGTATACAATTAATTTACCATGGACACAATATCCCTTTTCAAAGGCATTGCTAAGTAGGTCATAACTAAGTTTAGAACTTCACAGAAAGAAAAATGTTACTGCCGCAATTCAATGCTGTAAATGAGATTAACACATGTGAAGGCCTGATGGAATCAAACACTTAACTCTTCAGTTTCAAGTAAATGCTGTACAGCCAATCCCCAGTATCACCTGTAACTCTCAGAACTCGTTAATTACAAAAACTGCACTTGAAGAAAAGGGATAGTCCATCTATACAGGTAAAATGTGATCTTTAGTTTCTTTTTACAACACTGCCACACGTAAACAAAGTCTCAAAGTATTAACCAACCATTTAAAGGAGAAA